CCCCCCCCCCCCTTCTTTTGGAGAGGGGTGGTTCCACCTCCGAGCTTTCTTGTGGGTTAATGTGGCTGTTGGGACCTTCCAGGAGGACTTCCAGAGCTCCAGGAGGAGCACAGGGGTTAAATGCACCTTTGACCAGAAGAGACAGTAGGTCGGGCAGGGCTTTGGTCTTATCGCTCTGTTCAAGGCCGGTGTGTACCTTCTCTACTTAATTCTGTTAACAGGCATAAAACGGAAGCCAGACACTCAAAATCTTGCAAGGCTCATGCTTCATTTCACACCTCCAAACACTAAGCTTCACTGCACGTGATTTCAAAGCTGAAATTGCATACCTGTAACGTTACTGAACTTTCAGCTTGTGGGACGCCGTTGTCACGTGTCTTGTTTTAGCAATAAAAAAAATGCAGGAATGCTGGTTTCTGTCTTAGACACCAGATAATACATGTGGGAAAGAGGATGCAAGTAAACTAGCTTTATCACAAACTTCTTTGTGGGGTAGGGTGTTCTTGAACACTGGAGTTGACTCCCATTGAGGCACAGATCTGTCAGAAACCAGACCTCCTTCCCCCAGCGTGTAAACACGATAAGAAAACTACTTTCTCTCTGCCAGACTTCTGCACCAGGGTGGTATTTCTGCCCGGGAGACGGTCTGTTAAGGGGCACTTTCCAGCTGCCTTGCTTTGTCCATCCTTCACTAAGTCCTCTGCATCCATTTTGAACTTACTGTTGGGCTGTTCCTCCCATTTTAGTTCTGTGAATCTTAATCCTTGTTTGCCAGCTGGCTTCTAACCTCAGGTTTGCTCATCTTTTTAGGTAAGCAGGGGCGTTACGCAAGGCTGGACTAGCAGTGAACCCCAGCCACTGTCTGTTTGACATGCCCCTGTGGTCAGTTTCCCACTGGGAAACTGATAAAATAGCAGCTGGGACTGTAACTTTTAGAGATGACACTTTCTTATGGCAGAGCCTTGTTTGGGAGTTGCATGCTCAACTTTTAGAGATGACAATTTCTCACCCCGCAGCCTGGCTTACTGATGGCAGAGCCTTGTTTGGGAGTTGCATGCTGGAGAAGCAGCTGTCTTCTACTACGGGCTTCTCTAACGTGTTGTCGCTGTCCTGTGACTCTTGCAGGAGCAAAGAGAAGAAATTGCCACCTTGGAAACCGGCTGTCTGTCTTCTACTACGGGCTTCTCTAACGTGTTGTCGCTGTCCTGTGACTCTTGCAGGAGCAAAGAGAAGAAATTGCCACCTTGGAAACCATCAACAATGGGAAATCCATCTTTGAAGCCAGAGTGGACATCGACATATCGTGGCAGTGCCTGGAGTATTATGCAGGACTGGCAGGATCTCTAGCTGGTGAGAACGTTACTGGAGTTTGCTCTTTACTCTCTGTCCTGCCGCTCGTACGCTCTGGTAATTTCCGTGGCACGAGACCATCTTTGCTGTTTATTTCTCTAAAAGATGGACTACTCCTTTTCCTGAAGGTCTTGGAAGGATTTTCAGAGATCTCTACCTAGTGCTGCCCTGCTCAGTGGGCACTTATGCACCTTCTGTGAGCTCGCTGGGGTAAAAGCTGTGGGACTCTTGGTCCCAATCCAAGCGAAATCTGGCCCCTGAGGTTCTGGTAAAATGGGAAAGGACTTTGCTCTTCTCTACCTTCGGGCTGTCTTTTTTTCTTTGCAGGTGAACACATCCAGCTTCCCGGGGGATCCTTTGGGTACACTCGGAGAGAGCCCCTTGGGGTGTGTGTTGGGATTGGAGCCTGGAATTATCCTTTCCAGATTGCCTGCTGGAAGTCTGCCCCAGCCTTGGCTTGCGGTAATGGAGACGCTCTGCCCGTGCAAGCTTCTCTTTGAAACCAAACGATCTTTGGTGGGGGAGAGTAATTTTGGGGATAAGGTGTAAGATTCCCTTGAAGGAGGTGTTGAAGGATTATCAGAACCTTCAGGGTGTTGCTCTTGCAAGGAAATGGAAGTGGGAACATGGTATATGCGAAGAGGGAAGGAGTGCATCAGGAAAAAGGCAAATCGCTTGGCTTTGTACTGGACAAGGAAGGTTCCTGGATGTGTCCAGTGCAGGACCAGCAGCCCCATCTCCCTCAGGCCCTTCCCAGCAGGAGGGTGCAGCTCCTCCCTTTCACTGGTGCAGAGTTCATCTGGAACTGTTTCCTCCTCTCTTGAGGGGATCTTCTGGGATCTTTTGAGACAAACTCATTGTGTTGGGTGGTTTGTTTGTTTGCTTTTCTTATGCCTAAAGCAGTTTGGCTCTTAACCCACATCTCTCCCAGGCCCTTCCCAGCAGGAGGGTGCAGTTCCTCCCTTTCACTGGTGCAGAGTTCAGCTGGAACTGTTTCCTCCTCTCTTGAGGGGATCTTCTGGGATCTTTTGAGACAAACTCATTGTGTTGGGTGGTTTGTTTGTTTGCTTTTCTTATGCCTAAAGCAGTTTGGCTCTTAACCCCACCTTCCCTCTGTCTGGGTTCCCCTAGGCAATGCGATGGTCTTCAAGCCCTCTCCCTTCACCCCTGTTTCGGTGGTGAGGTTGGCAGAGATCTTCACAGAGGCCGGTGTGCCCAAGGGGCTCTTCAACGTGGTGCAGGGTGGAGTGGCCACAGGCCAGTTCCTCTGTCATCACCCAGATGTGGCCAAAATCTCTTTCACTGGCAGTGTGCCAACTGGCATCAAGGTAAAGGCACCTTCTCAGAGACACAAGAGGTCTGCAGTGCCAGCCTTTCTGGTGTGCTGTGGATGTCGATACCTCCTTGAGCTTTTGTGCGTGGGGTTTGTAAGGAAAGGGGTGCAAGATGGCATTTTGGGGTCTGAGCAAGGAGTTTGCACGTGGAGGTTTACACTGGGGCTCCAGTTAGCCCACTGGGCATGGCCTTGGGCACTCGGTCCTTTCAGAGGAGCCCCTTGGTCGTCACTTGTTTAGCCCCTGGTTGCAGTGAAGTCTCTGGGCTGCTAAAGTGGGTATCTGTGTAGGGAGGAGGGTAGGTGAGACAGAGCAGCACTAGGAAAATTTGTCAGCGTTTCTGCCAGTAATAGTTTGGTTTAGGGAGGAGGGCAGATGAGACAGAGCAGCACTGGGAAAATGTGTCAGCGTTTCTGCCAGTAATAGTTTGGTTTAGTTGTATACAATCTACTGTTTTTAAGCAAGAAGTTAATTTCTGTGAATTTCTTACCCTCAATATATTTTTCAAAAAATGACAAGTTCCTAAAAAGGCTTATAAAAATAAATTCTGATTTGAAAGAGGAGAAATGTTGCCCCTTGAATTCTCCTTGTGTGCGCGTACCTATGGGGTGCAGTGACACAGATGCAGTTACAGCTGTCCATCCTCAGCTTTTGCTGAGCACAAGACTTCCTGCAAATGACTCCTCAGGTTTTGTTGATTTTATCTTTAATGACAACCAAATGCCAATCCCTCTGAGACTGTCCCCAGTCTGAAATAAACACGTCTAGGAAACCCAGCTTGCCCTTCGTGCTGCCTCTGTTACTGGTGAAGGTCCCCATGGGAGCTCTCCTCTTGAGTGTCTCTTGCCTCTTTCCACCAGCGTCCCATTTACCAGTGGGTCACTTGGCTCTTCTGTCCTTGTTTCCCTCAGATCATGGAGATGGCAGCTAAAGGGATCAAACCAGTCACCCTGGAGCTGGGGGGCAAATCCCCCCTTATCATCTTTTCGGACTGTGCCTTGGAGAACGCCGTGAACGGAGCCCTCATGGCCAACTTCCTTACACAGGGTGAGGTACGTGTCCACAGGTTTCAGCAGGTTCCAGTCTGGTGTGCTGAGCTGGGGGGTCTGTCCATCCAAAATTTGGGATCTCCACACGTGCTGCAGGTTTTGTGTGATCCGGCTGGAAAATTGCCTTACCAGGGTCATCTCTGGGAACTGAAAAGTCATCTCAAGTTCTCTGCTGCTTGTGACTTGATGCATTTTTGCCACGTGGTGGCATCAATACCACTATGTTCTGCATGAACTGTTCAGTGCAGTCAGGGGCGGCAGGGTAATCTAGTCATCTTTGTCCCTGGGGACAAGTTAGGTATTTTAGCAGCTGTGGAGGGGTTTTTCTGAGAGGCTCTGCAGCAGGACCCAAGAGGGGAAGGGCTGCAGGTGCTCTGTGTCTGATCCTGAGCTGCCTGTCCTGTGTCCCAGGTCTGCTGCAACGGCACACGGGTGTTTGTGGAGAGGAAGATCCTGGATGCCTTCACAAAGGAGGTGGTGAAACGCACCCAGAAAATCAAAGTTGGAGACCCGCTTCTGGAAGACACACGGATGGGAGCTCTCATCAACCGGCCCCACCTGGATCGTGTCCAGGGCTTTATCAAGCAGGCGAAGGAGCAGGTGAGATTGTGATGCTGCTTTGTGAGTGCCCTGAAGTGTCTCTCTTTCTTGTTAGGCAGACAGGCAGCTGCTTTCCTAACACATGCCTTCCCAGTTAAGCTGTTTTTTTGTTGTGTTTGAATTACTCGACAGGTGTCTTGGGCCACTAGATTAAAAGTGACCCAGTGCATGTCTCTGAATCAGCATTGAAGGTGACTTGGCTTTTCGTATCCTGATGTTGCCAGGTTCTAGAGATTGTGAGATACCCAGCAGGGCAGTGTGTAAAATGGGATAATCCGTAACGTTTGGGCTGGTTTTAAGTTGTGGTGACACCTTGCACACTTGGCTGTTATCTCATTTGGTTTCCAGTTTTGTTGGTTGGAGAAAGAGCCTGCTAAGGATCAAAGGCCAAATTTACAGCCTGCTGATAACAATCTCTTTAAGAGCAGTAAGATCTACCCAGGCTTTTTTGTTTTTTCTCCAGCTTTTATGGTAAAGCATAAAGATGATGTAAATGTCAGCCCTAGGTATATGACTAGGTGTAGCCAATTTGGGGGTTGTGCTGGAGAAGGGGAACTACGAGTGAAAGCCAGGAGAGCTAGAGGAGGATTTGCAAACAGGAAGAGGGATCGGGGAGGAGGGAAGAAATCCCCATCTCTAAAGTGGGGCATTTGATAGAGGTAGGTGTTTCTTGCCAGATGGAGTACCAAGGGACTGGTAGACTCACTAATGAGGGAACTCACACCATGTGAAATTGTGGAAGTTAATGTGATGCCAGCTGAGGATCTGCTCCTAGTTCTAGTTGCTTCCCTCCAACCTGCACTGACTCCTGTGGCACTTGCACCCCAAACCAGCATTGTTTGGGCTTTTAGGATGGGTCTTACTCCCTGACTCTGATCTATGAGTGAGAAGTCCTGACCTGGAGAGACACCAGGGAAAGTACAGGCATGGTTTGTCTGATAGGACTGTAAACCTATTGGCCAGCCAGAGCTGCAACAGCTGAGTAGGATGCTCCTGGATGTGTCTGCCTACCTTCTGCTTGGCTCTTTTTCAGGGGGCACAGGTGCTGTGTGGTGGGGACTTGTACGTGCCAGATGACCCGAAGCTGAAGAATGGCTACTACATGCGACCCTGTGTGCTAGGTATGACCCTTCCTGTTCATGATACTACAGTCTTCTACGTGGGTGTTGCTGAGTTTCTTCTGGAGAAAGCTGTAGGGGATGAAGTATTAGAAAGCAGCCCTGAGGAAAGGGACTTGGGGGTGCTGATGAATGAGAAGGTGGACATGAGCAGACAGTGTGCACTTGCAGCCCAGAAGGCCAGTCGCATCCTGGCATACATCAAAAGAACTGTTGCTAGCAGATCAGAGAGGTGATTCTGCCACTTTGCTCTGCTCTGGTGAGACCTCAGCTGGAGTATTGTGTGCAGGTCTGGAGCCCTCAACATAGGAGGGACGTGGACCTGAGGGAGTGAGTCCAGAGGAGGGCCACGAGGATGATCAGGGGGATGGAGCACCTCTGCTACGAGGACAGGCTGAGGGAGCTGGGGTTGTTCAGCCTGGAGAAGAGGAGGCTCCGGGTAGACCTAATAGCAGCCTTCCAGTACCTGAAGGGGCCTACAGGAAGGCTGGGGAGAGCCTGTTTAGAAAGGCCTGCAGTGACAGGACAAGGGGCAATGGCTTTAAGTTGGAGAAGAGCAGATTTAGACTGGAGATTAGGAGAAAGCTCTTTACTGTGAGGGTGGTGGAGCACTGGAACAGGTTGCACAGGGAGATGGTTGAGGCCCCTTCCCTGGAGATATTCAAGGTGAGGCTCGACAAGGCCCTGGGCAACCTGGTCTGGTTGGGGGTGTCCCTGCTGACTGCGGGGAGGTTGGACTAGATGACCTTTGGAGGTCCCTTCAGGCCTGGACCATAACCTGTCTCTGAGTACATCCACAGTGTGGACGGGCACTGTTTTGGGTACACTACGGAGAGCTGAGGCACCTAGGAACTGTGTCCAGAGAAGTCTCTGCTGTTGGAGGGTCTGACAGGACACGTGCAGTTAGTGCCTTTGCTGCCTTGAGATGTGGGGTGGGACTAGCTCCTCTGCTAGCCAAGCTGGGGGGCTGTGCCATATTGTGTTGAGTGCTGTCACCAGGGCTCTGTGGGTTGCTGAATGCACAGGCTGTTCTGCTGCTGACTCTTCCTTCTGAAGCACATGTGCTCTGCTGTGCTTCCAGGGAACTGCAAGGATGACATGACCTGTGTGAAGGAAGAGATCTTTGGGCCTGTCATGTCCATTCTGCCGTTTGACACGGAGGAGGAGGTCGTGGAGAGAGCCAACAACACCAAATTCGGCCTGGCAGGTGGTGTCTTCACCAGGTATGACTGGGTAGCCTGGATGGTGTGGAAGCAGTCTAGGTAGGGGAGGAGAAGTATTTGATGCTCCTGTTGTGATACCTGGCACGGGCATAGATACCCTCTTCCAGAAAAGCTGGAGCAAGGGATTGCCAAAATGGAACTTTGTACATGACTGCACATCTCCTCCTAATTTTTCCTGAGGGGTTAGGTGGGCCCAGCTGTCCTTCAGACTCCTTCCAGCCTGTGCTTGGCCTGCTGCCTGCCTTCCTGAATCTCCAGGAGAGGTGCACCAGGAGCCTGCCACGCTGCTGAAAGCATGCAAAGATGGCTCTTGGCTGCTTGGCGCAGTCTGCTTTGCTGGTGTCCTTGTCCTGCCCTCTCAAATGCAGTTTTAAGCGTCTTTGGGAATAGGTGCTACATGATTTAAGCAGGCAGAGACAGCGTAGGGTAGGTTGGGCTCCAAAAACCACTGTGACCAGCTGGGCTTTCTTCAGTGGGATGTCAGCTGGCAGGGAAGGAGGGGACGAATGGGAAGGGATCCAGCTGAATTGCCTTTTTCCTGCAGGGATATCCAGAAGGCTCACAGGGTAGTGGCTGCTCTCAAGGCTGGGATGTGCTTCATTAACAACTACAACGTCAGCCCCGTGGAGCTGCCTTTTGGAGGGTACAAGGCATCAGGTAAGCTCTGTTTGGCCTCCCCTGGGCTCAGCCCTCCTGCACGGGGGTGAGGAGGTGCTGGTTTCTGTGATGGCAGACACGAGCCTTCTCTCGCTGGGGCTTTGCTGTGCCTCTAAGAAGCAAATGCCACCACGGGGAGCTGAAAGGGAAACTGAGGAATGGATTGCAACCTCGTCCTGAGGAAAGCAAGGAGGCGAGCTTTAATGTACATGGCCTTGCTTGCAGCTGAACTCAACCATTTATGACTCTGGGCTCCATCAGAGGTGCTACCATGAGGTGGCTTGTGTTGTGGTAGAACTTCGTGCTGGTGCCAGGGGGTGTGAGTGGTCCTTGGCACCACCTGGAGCTGTGTTCTCACTCCTGGCTTGTCCCCTGCAGGATTTGGCAGAGAGAACGGGCGGGCAGCCATCGAGTACTACTCGCAGCTGAAGACTGTCTGCGTGGAGATGGGTGATGTGGAATCTGTGTTTTAAGGGCTCTCAGGTGCTCGTCAAGGGAGCATCAGCCACTTGCTGCCTGTCAGCCAGAGATGTGGATCATGTACCCAGCAATAAAGTGCTCTAAAATTCCAAGTGCCTGGAGGGGGAACGTTGTTGGAGCAGCATTTAGCCACCCTGCTCCTGCAAGGGAGAATGCACACACAGGACAGGGCAGACCCACAGGCTGAGCCCTGGCTGGTGGAAGAGGGAAACCTCAAGAGTAGGAGGCAGCAATATGGCTGTCAGCAGCAGCTTGTGCCACTATTTAAGTGTTGCCAGAGGCTTGTCAGTGGCAGAAGCCTGGCCCAGGCTGCCTCCCCTGCTGTGTGCCTTGAACCCCATCGCCTTCCACCCTCAGTCCACTTTGGTTTTGTCTTCTTAACAGGTATGACCCCACTCAGTGCACATATAAGCTCTTGGACACATTGATATCCTGTAGCTATAGGCTCTGTCTATTCTCTGACTACATAAAAGCCTTAAGGGTAGGATTGTTTACTCCCTCTGTCCCTCTTGTAAGCGCAAGTTTTGTTTTTTCTATCTGAACCTCACTTCCAAGGTGGGACAAAATGTTGTGGGGATGGTGGGCTGATGCTGCCTGGGACAGCTATGGCCCTGAGAATTCATCTCCACACAGAGAGTATGGAGTGTAACCAGAGCAGTGGCAAGCTCCAGTGTAGCATAGAGTGCTCCCTCTCTTCAATGAAAGCTATTTGACTTCTTTCCTATAGTTCTCTATACTGTACAGTATAAACTGTACTGTTCTTTATAAACATGATGAAGCAACAACTGTAAATGCTTGCCTACATCTTTTTTTAGCAATCAAATAAATATTAACCCTGGAACATCTTATTGCAGAGTGGCATGAATAGAGGGGGGGCCAGAAATAAGGCTGCTGCTCTATGGGTTAAACGTGTTGCAAGAAGGCTTTTTTGGTCACTAAAATCATAAAAGCTAGGACATCTCTGCCTGATGGGCAGAATTCTTTAGTCCTTCCAAAACCCAGAGGCATTCCAGCATTCTGAAAAACTTAAGAAAACTCTGTATAACTTTAGAATGAAAATACAGAATTGACAACTTCCTTTTATTGAATGAAGAGGAAAAAAAAAAACCAACACAAACAGGAAATGAAAACTTCTAAAAGAGAAGACAACAGAACTTTCTTTAGTTTCCTGGACAGCCATCAGGATGGTCAGTTAGCCCCGGCAGACCCAGCCGAGGTGCTGGAAAGCTGAATACATGCTTGTGCCCACCAGCCCAAGAAGTGCAACTGAACCAATGGCCCCTCTCCTTCGTTTTTTTGGATCTGGAAAAAAAAGACATGTTTTGTCAGTTCAGCAGCCCATCACCGAGAGACTAACCCACCCTGAAAATTAAAGAAGGAGCAGGAACTAGAGAAATACCTGAAGGCAGAACAGCAGCTGGGGCCATGTACCTGCCCTCAGTCTGTGCTGTTATTAGACTAGTGCTCTTCATCAGTAGGAAAAATGTCCTGCAGAGTTAGCAGCCTGTGGACCTGCACCCTTTTTCTCCACACCCCAACTGGAGGCTTTATGCTGCTTCAAATGACTGAGTGTAGTATCTGTTGTTTGTCTCATGGCCCAAACCATGACACTCCTCAGCGTGAGCTGGAGAAAAGAGCCCTAAAGCCACTGTAGACCCGAGTTTCCAAGAACCTTCTGTGCTGCAGGGTAAAGACCTACCTCCCGTGTAGTAGCCGTGGGCATAAAGGATTCTCCCAATGATCCAGGTGACACCAAGCCCTGTGGCAGTGCACTAGAGAGAAAGAAGATGCATTAAAGGTTTTGGAGACTTGCCACTTAAATGTGCTTAGTTGTTACAGCAGCCCTGCTTCAAAGTGATCACCAACTACAGCATGGGTCCTGACCTTGCCAGGTGGGTGTCACCTTGGTGGTGGTGGGTGACTGATGCAGCACATAAGGGTGAGTTTTGTAGAGGAGGAGTTGCTTTCATGACACCTATGGGGAGGTAGCATGCAACGTGCTGTGGAGCCTTGCTCTTTTGCAGCACAGCTCTTCCCAAGCAAGAAATGGTGAAGTCACACAGGCAGCAGGTGCTGAATCTCATTTCACCACTGTCCAGTTAGTGAGCCAGGCCATCTGCCATGGTCTTGGAGGCTGCTGTTGCCCCAAGCCCCACTCCACTGCCTCCAGCAAGTGTACAGGGCTTCCCACTGTAGGTGTTACAAACTTCCAGTTTGACAGATTTGCCTATGGTGCCTCCTTCTCTCTCTAAAAAGGAATATTCAAGAAAGGCCTGATTTGTCTACTGGTGGCAAAGAAAGACCTACTGGTTTTGGCCTCTCCCACATGCCCGCCTCCTCACAAGTTGTCTACATCTTTCAGTTTAAAAATAATCCAGACTTTTTTTTTTGATCCTTCCCACACCTCCTTTGTGGTGGAAGTTAAGTGGGAAGATTACCATGTTCCCCATCTATTCTTATCAGATAAGTGCTTCATGAAAGTGTGCTTAGAAGGGGAGCAAAGGGTTCCTGTCCTCCTCGTGACCAGCTGCTGAGTAGTGCTGCTGTAAGCCCAGCAGGACCCTGCAGGGCTTGGAAGAGCCAGGCAGGGTTGGAGAGACCCTTCTCACTCATGAACAGGAGGCTGTGAATGCTTCAGTTTGTCCAACAGAGCACCATTAGGGGAAGGAATGGGGTCTAAAGCTGAAGCAGCATTAATGAGTTTATTAAATACTCGTGGCTCCCCTGCACGAGACCACCTACAACTACAACCTCACTCATGAACTGGAGGCTGTGAATGCTTCAGTTTGAGCACCATTAGGGGAAGAAATGGGGTCTAAAGCTGAAGCAGTATTAATGAGTTTATTAAATACTCGCAGCTCCCCTGCACGAGACCACCTACAACTACATTTTTGGAAGGGGCAGAGCTGTGAAGTGTGATGTGGCTAGTGAAGCAGCCTGCTGCCTCCAGAGGGGCTAGCTTGGCCTGCTGCCCCCCAAGCAGGGAGCCAGGGGCAGAGTGCTGTCCTGCAGACCTGCACTGGAGCATCACTTACCGGGTAGTAGATCCCACTGGTGCCTAAGAAGAACAGGAAGGCAGGGTAAACTTCCAACCTGAAAACAAAGGTGAGGAGGCTGTGTTTGTGCTCAGGTTGCTTGCAAAGAGGAAATGCTAGAAATGCAGAAGCTGTGGGCATCCCCTGCCAAGGTCTCTGTTGGGCCTTGCTCTTATGAGTCTCTGTTCTCAGGAGAACTATGCTTGATGCTATGGCCACAGAGAGAGGAAAAAGGGAATCTGAGCATCTTTTAGGGACTTCTTCCTGTCTGTGCCTCTCTCTAAGGCCACCTACTCTTTCTGTTTTGTGCCCTAAGACTCTGCTAAATGCCACTTACCACCTCCGAATCCAGGAGGAGTTGTTCCTCCCAGCACTCTGCTGATGTGCTGTTACAGCCTGGTCCACCGTAGCTGGGTGGACTTAGCCCTCTCCTCAGGGAGATGGGGGCAGCACAACAGATCAGCAGCCCCTAGAAAGGCTCTTCTGGAAATGAGATTTCTAGTATCTTAAGATCCACTCATGGTGGCGAAGAGCTGGGCACTGGGGAAGAGGACACTGGGGAAGAGGACACTGCTTCACAGCCCTGTCTGACATGGTTTATGGCATGGTAGGGAGTCAGCACGGCCCTACCACTAAGCATCACCTGGCCATGTGGTTTCCTCAAGCTTTGAGCCTGATCCCAACCACTTGGCAGCAGAGAGTCTCTAGCTGTAGGACCTGCTCCACAGCCCCGTGTATTTTCAAGGTCAGCATCCATTCGTGGTACTCACGTGTTCTGGTGTGCACGCTGGATGCAGTTGAATACGTGTCCCTGCTCAGGGTCTGTGCTGTACATGGTTGGATACTGCCAAAAAAACAAAACCCAGCAGCAAAACATAAGCAAGGGTGGTCTGGCCTCGAGAACCTGGTGTTCTCCAGCAGCGAGAGGTAGCCCAGTGTGCCATAAGTGCTCCCGGGATCGACTTGGCGTTTGCAAGTTAGAGCCTGTCTCCTGCCCCGTGGCCCACAAATGCTTTGTTGAAATTCCTGCTTGCCCCAGGCCCCTTCCTGAGCTCCCTGAGCAACCTGTGGAGGTGGCCCTGCTTTGAACAGAAGACAGCCAGGTACTTGGTGACCTCCTCGTTTAAATCCCACCGAGAGCAAAGCGGCATTACTGAGGGGACCACCCAGAAGAGGCTGGAAGGACACTGCCTTCCCTACTGCTGCAGAGCTGAGGAGCTGCCCCTTGGCTGGAGAGGCTTCTCCCAGCACCACACACACCGGGCACCTCTGCTGTAATCCTGACTGCGTGCAGTAGGAGTCGGGGGTCACCCCGACGGGCACCCACTGCCCACAGCACGCTCCCGGGGCTATCCTTGCTCCCAACCCCTTCTTGCCACATCCCCCAGTGACCCAGGGGGACAGAGCAGAGAGAAGTGCCAAGGAGCCAAGTGGCACAGCAGCCTCCACATGCCATCGCCCTGACTCATGGGGCTGGATCGGCCGTCCCCCACCCAGCCCACAGCCCTGCGGGCTCCCCCATGGATGCTGAGGGAAGGTCACTTTGCAAGACGTCTCATGTGCCTCCCTCCGAGCTCGAGAAACCCTCCTGTCTCTTTTGTTCCACCACCCTTTTCCCCCAGCCCTGCGCCAGCCACTTTTACAGTGGGGAAAAAGGGCTGTGAGGTTTCTTGCTCGTCAGCATTCCCCAGCTCAAAGCCTCCTGCTTCCAGCCGTCTCCTCTCGGTGCCAAGCACCTGATGTGCCAAACCCCGAGCTCTGCTCGTGCCATCTGGAGAGCCAGAACGGCAGCTCCATCCCTTCTGTACCCGTTGGGTGGGGGCAGGAAACGTCAGCAAGTCACCCCAAAATAAGCAAGGCGTTACATTAAGCCTGTCCCCTACAGACTGGCTCTGACCTTCCCGTCCCACCCCCCAGCCTGAGCACTCACCTCCACGTTGTACTTCTTGCGGGCCCTGACCACGTTGATGGCGAGGTGGGTGACCAAGACGAAGCTGGCAGCCCCCGTCAGCATGACGTAGCCATACTCCTTTGAGAGAACAGCCATCTTGGTGCTGTTGCAGAAAAGAGAGCCTGTTACTATTTCGGGGTGCGACTGGAGAAGTGGCAGCTCCCTCCACGCACGTTGGAAACGTTGCTGAGCGTGATCCCAAGCCCTCCTAGCACAGGGGGTGGCAGAAGGGAGGGAGAAATTTTTGGGGAGTTTTCACCTCTTGGTGCCTGCTGGGTATTGAGCAGCACAAACCAAGGGTGCCCTGCCCAGCTCCTATCAAGCAAGCCTTAAAATCACTTAAGTGTTGGTGGGAGGTGGCGTCTGGAGGACCCTCATCCAGCCTCCAGCTCAAAGCAGGACAACAGCCAACAGTGGGTCCCACCAGCTCTGGCGGTGGCTGGCTAAGCCCCATCAAGTCACCGACCCAGTGCTGTGCCTACAGGGATGCTCTGGAGGGGAGGGCAGACACTGAGTGTTCTCAGCCACTTCCAACACTGGAGCCGGGGGCCACCAGGGAGGTCAGGATTCAAAACCAACCAAAAGAGGTCGTTTTTCATCTCCCTGCTGAGGGACGGTGCGAACGCAGGTGGTTTTCAAACTCAAACACCTGAGCTCTGGGCATAGGAGGTAAGTTGGGAATTGTAATAGAATCATAGAATCGTCTAGGTTGGAAGAGACCCTTGGGATCATCAAGTCCAACCATCTACCCTACTCTACAAAGTCCTCCCCTACACCATGTCCCTTAGCACTGCATCTAAACGGCCCTTAAACACAGCCAGGGATGGTGACTCCACCACCTCCCTGGGCAGCCTGTTCCAATGCCCTATCACTCTTTCGGTGAAAAATTCTTTCCTAATGTTCAATCTAAACCTACCCTGTTGGAGCTTGAAGCCATTCCCTCTCGTTCTGTCACTAATTACCTGTGAGAAGAGACCAGCACCAACCTCTCTACAGTGTCCTTTCACGAAGTTGTAGAGAGTGATGAGGTCTCCCCTCAGCCTCCTCTTCCTCATACTAAACAGTCCCAACTCCCTCAGCCGCTCCTCATACGATTTGTTTTCCAGCCCCCTCACCCCCTAATATAGACAAATGAAAACTGGCTCAAGAAATCCCCGGGGCTGAAAGGAGCTGGGCTACAGGAACTGTTAGTTTGTACCACTAAGGTCACCCTTAATCAATAATAATAAATAAATAATAATCAAATAATAATAAAACCCACTACAGTAGCAATAACAACCACCTTTTTGGTAACGAGGCATTGGCCAGGTGAGTGATGCTCACCCCTGCAGCTTCAAGGAACCCTCTCAGAGCCACAAGTCAGCGAGCAGCCCCCAGCAACACGCTGGCAAAGCTGCTGGCACTTGCCAACATCTGCACGAGGAAGGCTGCTGGCCAGGAGACAGCAGGGTCCACGTGGTTTGCACTGAACGGTTCTGCAAACACAAAGCCTCAGGCACACAGGCCTGAGATTTCCAGGAAACACGGAGCAGAAGGTGAATCCCAGCCACCTCCACCACGCTGCCCCACAGCAAGGCTGCGCTGCCCTTCTCCCCATCTGCTGGACCTGCCACCAGCTGATGGTGCTGGGAGATGGTCAACAACCAAAGGCTCTGGAACCCTCCCCTGGCTGCAACTGAGCACGAGGGTCCTTCCCCACAATCACAGAATCACAGAATCTTCTAGGTTGGAAGGGACCTTAAAGATCAACTTGTCCAGCCGTCAACCTAACTGACAAAAATAGACACCCACACAACAAACAAGGAGCATCATCACTAAACCATACCTCCCAGCACTTCATCAACCCGTCTTTTGAACACCTCCAGGGATGGTGCCTCAACCACCTCCCTGGGCAGCCCATTCCAATGGCTGATAACCCTTTCAGTGAAAAAATTTTTCCTAATATCCAGCCTGAACCTCCCCTGGCGCAACTTGAGGCCATTTCCTCTTGTCCTGTCGCCTGTGACTTGAGAAAAGAGACCGACCCCCATCTCTCTACACCCTCCTTTCAGGTAGTTGTCACCTGGCACAGGTCCTCTTGCACAACCCCAAACCTCAGATGTCGTCCGTCTGGCGTGACTGTCCTGGTTTGAGCGACATGGGGCTAATTTATCTTCTAATGCTTGGGAAAATGGCACTTTTAGAAGATTCTGGTGTCTGAATTAGTGAAAATATTTACTTCATAGCCGGCTGTGCTATGTAAGTTTCAAGGCCTCAGTGTTTTTAAGCCTTGCCAGGGGCAGGGATGAGGAAGAGCAAGACCTGGGTACTTGGCCCAGGCTGCCCAACAGGATTATTTCATACCATGAGCCTCACATTCAATATAAATTAGGAAAATTTCTGTGAAATTCTCTCTCCTTTAACGGCTGGGATCCAGAGAACTCCTTGCCCTGGTGCCAGACCCCTGAGCCCTTCCTTTCTCCCGAAGCCACAGGGCTCTCAGTGTCCAACATCTGCTGTCCCTGCTGGGGGTGCACAGCTTCCTACTGATAGCAATGGCTGAATATAATCCTTGTATATTTCATATTACTATTGGGATCAATACTGGTTCTTTACTACTGGATGTTAATTATTAAATTTGTTTACATTTCAACCCTCAGGTTTCTTTATTTTTTTCTCCAGTTCCCCTTCCCAGGTGGGTAGAGGTCATCGGGTGAGAGAATAATTGCCTAAACGATGATAAATTGTTGTGGGTTTGCTCCAACCATGACGGTGACCCAAGACAGTGCTGCCTGATGGAACACAGCAGAAGACAGCAGAGACCCCTCTTCAGCAGTGAGACAATTCCCTCACCAAACCCAACCCCACCTGATGCCTATCTCCACCTGGTTGCCTCCACCATGCGGTAAGGTTTTGGTGTCTCCTGCACTGTCCCACCAGCAAAATCTGTCATCTTGGGGGGGAAAAAGGGCCATCTCATGGAACGTGGGCAAACAGGCTTCCCATGGCAGCAGCGCCAGCACCCCTCATGAGGGACCTTCAGGGGTTTATTTCTCATTTGCAAAGGGGTTATTATTGATGGGGCAAAGTGAAGACAACAGCTGGCACTGTCCACATGAAGTTTGGTAAATTGTTATCAGTAATAACACTGGAAACCTACAGTAATGAAGAAAAGTCAGCTGCACCCACGTGTAATGGGTGTTAGTGCCCGCCACTGGAAATACAACACACTCCCACCCAGTTGAGCAGGTTGGTGGTCACATTCCCCCCTTCCAAATTTCAAGAAATCCCCGGGGCTGAAAGGAGCTGGGCTACAGGAACTGTTAGTTTGTACCACTAAGGTCACCCTTAATCAATAATAATAAATAAATAATAATCAAATAATAATAAAACCCACCACAATAGCAATAACAACCACCTTTTTGGTAACGAGGCATTGGCCAGGTGAGTGATGCTCACCCCTGCAGCTTCAAGGAACCCTCTCAGAGCCACAAGTCAGCGAGCAGCCCCCAGCAACACGCTGGCAAAGCTGCTGGCACTTGCCAACATCTGCACGAGGAAGGCTGCTGGCCAGGAGACAGCAGGGTCCACGTGGTTTGCACTGAACGGTTCTGCAAACACAAAGCCTCAGGCACACAGGCCTGAGATTTCCAGGAAACACGGAGCAGAAGGTGAATCCCAGCCACCTCCACCACGCTGCCCCACAGCAAGGCTGCGCTGCCCTTCTCCCCATCTGCTGGACCTGCCACCAGCTGATGGTGCTGGGAGGTGCTCAACAACCAAGGGCTCTGGAACCCTCCCCTGGTTGCAACTGAGCACGAGGGTCCTTCCCCACAATCACAGAATCACAGAATCTTCTAGGTTGGAAGGGACCTTAAAGATCAACTTGTCCAACCGTCAACCTAACTGACAAGAATAGACACCCACACAACAAACAAGGAGCATCATCACTAAACCATACCTCCCAGCACTTCATCAACCCGTCTTTTGAACACCTCCAGGGATGGTGCCTCAACCACCTCCCTGGGCAGCCCATTCCAATGGCTGA